GAAGGTGACATTCTGCAAGCTTAGGAAGTCAATGAAAACTAGCTAATGATCAACCTTATATCCTGGAAACTGAAATACTTTGGTTCTATGAATTGACACAATTGTTTATAAAAGAATAGTGCTGAAATGTTTAGTTCTTGAAAAAAAAAAAAAAAGAGCGCAAGTTTTCGAGCACGAATGTGGACGTAGGAGAAAGATTAACCTCCCTTACCTGGATCTACACACCCGGTCATGTGGGTGTAAAAGGTAATGAGCGAGCGGACCAACTAGGACGCAATGCACCAGCCACCAACGCATGTGGGAAGAAGCATGGACAAAGAAAATATCGTCAACGCTGTACGGACTGGGCTAGTGGATAATGAAGAATCTCTGACACTAACAGACATGGGAGTAAAGCATGGTGAAGCACGACTATGCCGTCTTCGAGGCCGAGATAGGAGACAAAATAACCAGCTTCTCATGGGAACAATTAGTAGCAGTACTATAGAGTGGCTGCTGCATCAGAGGACTGAGCACGCATGGGAGTGCCTAACGGGCAGTGACGTCGATTGTGATAACGTAATATAACTTGGTCCCAATAGTCATGAAAGCTGACGAAGAACGGAGAATCTGTTTTGTTTTGGTGTGCTGTAATGAATGTGACACTACAACAGAGCTGCTTTACCATGAGGTAGAACAGATTCTTGATGCATCAGATTCAGTTGAAGCAAGTTAATTTTCTGGGAAAAACAGCTGTTTATTCAAGTATTTTTCTATTTGTTGTATTGTATGAAGATTACAGCTCATATTGTCATTTTTGCTCCTCCGCTGATCCATCTGTGTAAACATATGTCTCAGTTCGCGAGTTTTTTGTAATTCTTTTTCTTGGTGAATGATATTTTAAGAACTTTTCCTGCACTACCACTTACTGGTAATGGCTTAAAAGAAAACAGCCTTGACTACTTCCACGGCCGACTCTATTTATATATAATAGCTCCAGATGGGCGTGACTACTTCATTATTGAATACTTCGTACCTAAATAAATCACTGACTCTATTTATTACTAGCATACATTTCCTCACGATAATGTTATATTCTTCTACAGAGGGGAAGGTGAATCACAACCGATGGCGATGGTGAACATGAAGAGCAAGATCTCCTCACGGCAGTGTTATATTCTGCTACAGAGGGGAAGGTGAATCACAACCCATGGCGATGATGAGCATGAAAAGCAAGATCTCCTCACGGGAGGTCGCAGGCTCCTTTCACGGCGGCGCCGTTCAGTTCACGAGTTCAATTTTTACGGACATCCCTGGTGATCGTCGCTGGCGCTACGGAATTCATGCTCTATGCGACGATCTCGGCAGGCAGTTAGCGGTTCTATGGAGAGAGACTGAGCCATATGGGATTAAACCCGTGCAATGAAGTAGATTCTCTCACCTTTACAATAAGAGACGTTTATCACGACTGGAGCATGAGTTTATAGGGCGATTGTTGCCGTAGCGATGAACGTATATACATGTGTAGTAACCAGTATACCACTTCAAGTCAATACGCACTGGACGTGGAAACAGCTTTACAAAAACACAACAGTAAGTAACAGTACAAATGTTGTGGTTTCAAAGTCTTCATCTGAACATACATTTATAAGGCCACTATATAAATGTTAACAAATAAGCATGTATTGGTCGGCACTTACAGAAAGAAGTAAAAAAAAAAAAAATAGAAGAACCCACCAGACAACATACAAATCGAAAGCTATAATTATTACACGGGGAATCGAACCTGTCACCTCCAAATGACGATTACAACTCGCTGCAGGAATACGTTTGTTAAGACGCATGACCAACTAGGCACCCCAAAGACAGCTTCCTGTGTTCTCCGTCGATTTATTCCTGCATAAGAGACCATAACCTACTAATATGAAGTACCATCCCCATGAGACTTTGTTGTGGCACTCTCATTCCTCTCTTTAATCTCAGAAACAAGAGGCATGCGCAAGACTGACACTTGAACTTAACCATATGGGGGTGCCTAGTTAACCATGTTCTTAGTGCACTTGTATCCATGGTGAGGCGCACACGCCGTCTGGGGGTGACAGGTTCAGTTCCCGGCACAGTAATTATAACTTTCGATTTTTATGTTGTCAAGTGTGTTCTTATATCTTTCTACTTCTTTTCATGAGTGTTGATTAATACACTTTTTGTTACTTGATTAATTCAGAACTTAACCATGAATGATGTTACAGTGTAACCAAGTCGTGTACATTATAATTATGTCGGAGATATCTAGTGGAACCTTTCTGGATTATATATCTGAAATATACAGAGGTTATATTTTTCAGAGACTGTATATTGATGTGTATTAAGCAGTTTTTGCTAATAAATATTGCAAAGCTTACAAGTGTTAATTATAATAGATTTGCAAGATTGGGCCTATGTAGAATAACCAGGTTATGACTCAGAAGATTAAAAGTGTTAATAATAAGAGATTATAAGATTATAAAGTAATCCCCTGTCATGATTCAGCACAGGACACACGACTGGCCTGGATCAGACCTCAGTTAACAAAGCTTCTCTGCGGGTTTTACACATTTGATCGTTAACAGACTCCTTCCTACTCGACGTCTAGCAGCTAGACTTTCACCTGCCAACCTGAAGGATTTGTGTTCGAATTAACATCGAGTCATATTTGTCTCACAAGTGACCTATGATGGGTATCAGGTAAAGGCCTGAAAAGTAAAGGCAGCCGGCGTGACATTGACCACAACGCCCATCAAGTGTCGATTGGTCTTTAAAAAATTATGAGTCTAGTTTTTAGTGTGCCACAGCGGAGAAAATGGTCCTTTCGTTCGTTAATTTACCCAATACCTACAGGTTTAAAGTCGAGAGGATGAACTTCATTGCACCAGGTTTCATTCTATATGGCTCGGACTCTCTTCACAGAACGGCTAGCCGCCTGCTGAGAGCAATTCACAGAATATGAACTCCGTAGCTTCGGCGACGATCCCCAGGAATCTCCGAAATAACTGCACTCGTGGACTGAACGACTCAGCCGTGAAACGAACCCACGAACTTCACTTCAACACGGAGGGGAAACAGTTCATAGATATTCAACTGTCCAGCGTTCCCTGTGTGGGTTACGGGACCTCATTGATCTAGGGTGGGTGTGGAATAAACCCAGTGACCCGGTGGGGGCGGGGGGGGGGGATATAAACCCAGTGCCTATCTAACAAGCTTGTGATAAAAGGTGACTAGGGATTTGTCGAAATCAGATGTGCTTGGTAGAAAGGTGTACATATCGTAACCTTGCTGTAAGCTACAACACAACGTAGCAACTGTCCTTTAAAAGACATATAGAAAGTAAAGGACCCTTTTCCACGCCTTTAGGCTTATAGGGCTAGACCCATATTTTTATAGACCAATCGGCACAAGGTGGGTGATGTGGTCAGCATCATAGAAGTAGAATAATAATAATAATATAAGTCTATGGGCATTGTAGAGGCTGCCATCACATCGAGAATGCATGAATATACAACACTCCTGGTCCCAGCTAGGAAGACTGGACGAGTACAAAATTAGGCTATGAGACTCATACTCGGCTGCGCAAAAGATACCTCCTGCAACGCCATGCGTTATGTCCTGGGTTTACCGACGATAACTAGGAGATACAAAGTCGCATAGGTCAAGGCGTACATGAGGATATCGGCAGACGTTAACCACCCACTGCACAAAACTATACACGACACAAAAATAACGCGTCCCAAAAGAGGCCGCTCTTGGATGGCAAAGGCTGAGGATTTAATCCAGCAGGTATGTGACCTAGACATGATCAGTCAAGAAAAAGAATAAACGAATACACCAGTAGACATGCATGGCATCTCTAGGGTTGTCATCACACTTGAAAGGTAATGCGGGGATCAAATTCCTGCGGCCGCAGACACAGAGGTAGGGGAACTGATAGATGGGCATACACAGCGCAAAGAATGAGGAAAACAATACAGGAGGAAAACGGCGCTTACCAGACAACCACATCAAGCATGACCATGGAAATAGCCGCTGCTTCTAGAGCATCTGCATCGATATCTGAGCAAACCGCCACACAGGCAGTAATTGTATCAGACTCCATAAATATGCTCCAGAAGATAGAAACAGGCGGTATGCGCTTTGAATGGAAGTAAAGCATGTTGAAGTATATATAGTAAGGCCGAGATAGGAGACAATATAACCGGCTTCTCATGGGAACAATTAGTAGAAGTCCTTTGGAGTGACTGCTGCATCGGAGGACTGAGCAGGCATAGGAATGCCCAACGTGCAGTGACGTCAAATGTGATAACATAACAACATATCATAACCCTTCTGATCTCAAAAAGTTGTATACTAGTAGTATACTATAACGATTAGCAAGTAGTAATCTAATCAACAATCGGTAGGCAGGCCAAACAATTTCTGGAGGCCTCGGAGATGTGGTTTTACAGAAAAATGCTTAGAATACATTGGACAGCCAAAGAGAGCAACCAAGAGGTTTTGAAAGAGGCGGGAGCCCGAAGACAACTTATTACAGACATCATAAGGAGACAGTCATCCTTTTTCGGCCATGTTATGAGAAGAGGGAAAATAGAACATGTTGTGACCACTGGAAAGATATGTGGAAGGAGGGATAGAGGAAGACAACGAGAGAAGATGCTTGACAGTCTTGTTGCATGGCATGGAGGTGTGTCGGCACACGAACCGATACAAGCTGCAGCAGATCGCAGATTATGGAGAGGCATGATCGCCCACGCCAGTCGGCATGGCACCTGATGATGATGATGAATCTAATCAACAATGCCCTGTTCAACCCACCTCTATATCAATATAGGATATTTATGTTTCTTAATTAATTATAGTTATTTAGTTTTGTATCGATTAAGTATTAATTGCAACAGACTATATGTGAAGTTTTATAATTTGTACGCAGTAACTTATGCACATAATTAAATGCGAAACTCTTTTTTATCTGCGGTTCTAAGAGTGTAAATATGGCTGCGTCCATAGCGAAGACAACCTTGGCAAGTAAGTGCTAGAATAATATTGTTATTATAAACATCGTACACGTGTGCTTTCACAACAGATGAAAAAAGCGAATAGTTAAATCACTAAAATTTTAATGTTGCATACGTTAAATTCTTACTGAAGTTGCTCGGATACCGGACTAAAACCTGTAAGGTTTCCGTAAGCCACGGTTAGTTAGTTTATAATAAACTTTATTAATATTATATTAACTCTTCCAGGCCCACGAATTTTGACAGATTTGGCTCACATTAATTTCCCTTTACAAAAAATGGCACAGGGGGTGGAGTAAAGAAAAAAAAACAGATGAGAATGTAATATATTTATGATCCCTGCAAAAGTATATATATTTTGTAAAAAGGAATTAATGTAAATTTTGAATCTGATATTTGTTAATTTTTGGGCTATCCTCCGAATATTGTTCCCAAATTATCGAGGCCGAAAATATACCCTAACAGGGCCTCAGTATGTCAAGTGACTTCCGGCGACTTAAATTGCGCACCGCCACCGACGAGAGTATCTCGCATGCCGCTACGCGCAGCATGGATTGGGGCTAAACTAGATGGCTGGGACTCGCAAGCAGTAGCCACAGAACCTCCTGCAGCTGCCTTAATTTTTTTTGCTCGTGAGTCCCAGCCATCTAGTTTAGCCCCAATCCACGCCCTGCGTTGCAGCGTGTAAGATACTCTCGGCGGTGGCAGTATAGTCCCCGGAAGTCTGCAATTCAGCGGTGGCGGTATAGTACCCGGAAGTCCGCAATGGACATGTGACTGAGGCCCTGTTAGGGAATATTTTCGGCCTTTATAATTTGGGACTGTAATTTAGAGGGTGGCCTATGTTTGTTTAATACTGTTATAGTTAGTAGGAAAAAAGCATTCAGCAGGTGTAATGTTTACAGAGAACAAACTTACTTTTTACCCCCCCCCCCCCCTTCCTTAATCTTCACTTACCATGGTTGTGCAGCCACAAGAGTAGTGAATATCTATATCTTAGAGTAACACTTTAAAGTTCCTGTACACACACAATTTTTACTGTGTAGTTATTTACAGACTAACTGCAATGATTTCAATGCATTTTAGAGTATGATATTGTCTGAAACAGTCTTTTTGATGCAGAAGTGGCCGACTATCACATCCTTCGTAAATGAAATGGGTTCTCCTAGATTTACCTCATCAAAACGAATAACTGACTTCTTAGTTGCCGCTGGTGTAAATTTACTGTCCGAATCGCTTTCTGAAAAATTTCAATTTTTCATTATTTGTAAACATCTGACTGAAACAATTTCAGAGCTTCAGCCACAGAAAGGCGCATTTCACAGTCTGTGCTTATGTTCAGAACCTTGGTAACCATAGCCACTTGAACAGGAAATAAAAAAATGCACTGTCTGAAAATCACTCTAGCAGGGAATCGGATCATTTTGCGCCCACATGTGTGCAAACATAGACATGTTTACAAAGAACAATTTTACAGTAACCTTTCCTGAATACTTTAATGATAGTTCCGAACATTAGAAAGATACATAGCTGTATGCATATCAGTATGTACAGGAAACATAATCAATGCAGACGGTGTTGTTTGTGCAAATCAGAAGTTCTCACTCAACACACACAGCTTTGCTCAGGCCTCAAAGGGCTAAAAGTTGTCATGTCAGTAAAAGCAACCCAACAATACAAAATTACTATGATAGTGATACCTCATACAAGTGGTCAAATCGTTTGCCTCCCACTCTGAAGATCATGGGTTAATTCTACGGCTGCACTGTTCGATTCACAACTACAAATTTTATGGAGATCCCCGGGGGGAGGGGGGTCGTCTCTGGTGCTACAGAGTTCATGATCTGTGTGCCACTTTCAGCTGGCTAGCCATTCTGCAGAGATCTGCAGAGACAGACCTTGCAGTGACATTGACACCTCCACTAAGACTAAGTCAGAGAGACCGAGCCATATGGGGTAAAACTCAAGGCAGTGAAGTTGAATTTACTGTCCTACTTCTGTTGACAGTTCTCATATGAAGTTGGTCATAATGTCTCCTGGTTCATAGCTGTAAATATCACATATTATAAAAATACTTATATAACTTAACTACTGAACTTTCTCAGATATCAAGAACCTGTGGTCATGTAACCAACTGTCAAGACCAGCTATTGCCTTGCTTGATAATAGTCCAGTGACCTTTCTTCAAGTCCGATACAGAAATAAAAAGCAGCATGTTAAAGATGCCAAGGTTGAAGCAGATAAAAATGAACGGTTCATACCAAAAAAGCTGAAGAAGGCGTATGTATATTTAATTTCTGCATTCTGTATATTGTCAGCATTAGTTTATGTATACATGTGTTTAACTGTCTTCTCTGTTCAGTTTTGGGGATATCTCTGGTTAAGTTGTTTGTTTTACACTCTAAAGGTCATGGACTCACTTTCAGACCCCATTCGTTTGCTGTTGCAAAGGTTTCGGAGATCCCTAGGGGTCATTACTGGAGCTGAGAATCTGAACCACGTGAAATGATACACCAGGTACAAACTGGCCAAGACCTATATGATGCAGAAACTTGGACAATGTACAAGCAGCTAAAAAAATCGAATTGAATCTCTGGAGATGTTGGTATACAGAAGAATAGGTCATATTTCATGGGAACAAAAACAGTCCAAAACAGAGGTTCTGGGAAGGCTACAAATGAAAAGAGAATTATTGAAATACATTTAAAAAAAGAGACAGTTGAAATACTTTGGCCAAATTAAATGACATAACACACTTTTAAAAACCATACTGGAGGGAAAGGTCAAAGGCAAGAGGTGGATAACGATACAAGTGGGAGAACAACATCAACAGATGGACATGCAGCAGTGTGAGAGAGTGTACAACCAGAACAAGTGACAGCATGTTGGAGATCCATTGCAGCCAACCTTCACTGTGGAGACGGCACCTGACTGATGATCTACAGTAATTCTGCTTGATAACAAAACCACTTTGTGGATGTCTGCACAACACATCCCTCACATACTATCATCTTGGTTACATTTGCTGATTACTTTATAATTTTTTGTGCCAGTTCATTAAAAAAACTCACTCTTGTTGTGCCAGTTCATTAAAAAAACTCACTCTTGTTGTGCCAGTTCATTAAAAACTCACTCTTGTGGTTTTTGGACAACAGTATGAGAGTAAAACCTTGGAAAAGATTGGAGCCTCATCACGTATATTCCCATACACAGCAATGGGTGCACTGTAGCTAGCCTTCATCGTAGAATTGGCACATAATTTTTGTGTGCAGTACATATGTTTGCATACATTTTATATGCTTTATTTTAATCAGATCTTTTTGCATTTTTAAAAATTTGTGTTGCCTTTTTTGAAGCTCTTATCTTTTTCTCTTTTTTCTTTCAGTTCTGCGGCTGTACTGACAGAAACTGTTCAGAAGGAAGTAAAAATCTTGGCACAGAATCCAGTTGACAATGTTTGGATTCGGAACCATTATCCACCACAAAAATATTCATTTGAGAATGCTATAGAAAAGCATAAGGCATTTGCACAGCCTGAGATGCTAAACAATTTGCAAGGATTGGTGTTTTTGGATATGAGACTTGACTTTTCAATGAGCAAGAAAGTATGCTGAAGTTTGTAGTTTTTGTCATTGGTTGTCTGCTTTCTCTGCTGAAGTTTGTAGTTTTTGTCTTTAGTTGTCTGCTTTCTCTGCTGAAGTTTGTAGTTTTTATCATTGGTTGTCTCCTTTCTCTGCTGAAGTTTGTAGTTTTTGTAATCATTGGTTGTCTGCTTTCTCTATCCTAATTGATTACTTGTTTAAAAATCAACATTGTAACATACTAGTTGAAGATGAATTCGCGACAGGTCCGGCAAGTCGGCGGAGAATTCAGTGGTTCAAAAAGAAATGCCCAAGATGAAAATAGGAGATGTTTTAGAACATCAGTCTTAATAGTGCTCTTGACAGCTTTTCAACCAATGTTACATCTACCCCCGACACTTTACTGAGGTACAAGGTGGAAGAGAAGAAGAAGGAGAAGTAAAATACCAGGCATAGTTGCTAGGTCTCCTGCAGGTGCAGATGCTGATTGTACCAATAACATACTAGTTGTAGTCTGTATATCCCTTCTTGATATATCCCAAGTTGTGCAGAGCCAGCCAGTCTGTCCCCCTGTTCATTTCCCAACACACCGGCATTTCCGGTGAAAAAATCCAGACAGTATTCCTCACCCGTGTCCTCCGCGGTGAAGCATGCCACTATGCATGAAGCATGCCTGTCCTAACCTTCTTCAGCATGCTTTCTGAGTCAGTTACAATCACTTGTGTGTGTGTGTGTAGTGTTCTCTAACCAGCGGAAAGCTGCAGTGACCGCCTCCACCTCCATTCTCAAGCTGGATGTTGTGGCATCATATGCTAGGCTCTCCTGCACCAAACGTCGACCATTAAATTTTGCTAAGAAACCCAAAGCACTTCTTTACCTCTTGACACTGAACTATCTGTATGAATAATCACATCCTTTGAGCAAGCATATTCTTGAATTAATTGCTGAATTCCCACCTCTGTGGCAACTGCTGGCCAGTCTCTGCATTCCCGGCTCAATGTGATTATGAATCTACACAAGTCTGACTGTTCAGGTGGCACTTTGACCCACTCCTCTCCTCGTCTAATGTTCTCGAGGATGCAAACCTGTCTGATTGTGTCTTCTGCCTGAGCTATCCATGACTTCCCTCTTGCCAGCTGCTGACCCTTAACTGCGCCCAGAGTTTCATGCAAAGGGTGGTCTGTGTCTGCAGCTATCTTGAAATATGACTTCACCTGCAGCACCTTGTGCCTACCTGCAACAGTGGGCAAACCAAGGATGTTTCGCATATACACCACTGGGGTGACTCTGGATGGAATGAAAGAAGAACAAATCAGATAGTCCTCTTGGAGACAGATGAAAACCATAAGCTGACTCCCTGTATGTCTCGTAAACAGGTAACTATAGACAAGTCGGAAAAATGACATTTATGGGGAATTTGTCCTAGTCAGAAAGAGTCCATACTGGAGCTTCTCAGGATGACAGGGTTAAGGATTAAGAATGCAGAAGAAGAACCCAAAAAATATAAATGTCGATATTATCTGTATTATTCTTTGTCTGATTAAATTTGTAACAGGATTTGGGACACTTGGAAAGAAATGCATCTCAGAAACAATTCATATTTTGCTTTTATTTTCAGACAAAATTTATGAGCAACATAAGGTCAACCCTGAGACTGCCTCATGAATTCCCATACGGCTCGCCACCCAACATTCTTGTTTTAACCAAAGTAAGTACACTTTTACCTATAGCTTGCTTTCCATTTACCACTTTTTGAAAGCTAGATAAGTAGAGAATTCTTCTTCTTCTGTTTCTTTGTCCGAGTGATGTAATTGTGTTGTGCCTGTTTACAGCAAAGCTGCAATATTTGCGCCTTTTGGTGGACTCCAACTTCATCAAGCAATTTGCTGTCAGCTCTATGTAATGTAAAAGCTGCACAACGATCATGCTAGATTCATATTTTTTTTATAGGCAATGGCAATCACGTGAGGATGTGGTCAAAATCACACTGGCCACTGTTACTTCCCAGGGCTTTACCTACATCCATTTTTTTTTTATTGTTCACCGGCTATGAATTCCGGCAGAAGGTAAAGGTTAATCGTCCGCTTGGACTGTTCCCTGCCTCATGGGCAGCTGTACTCCGACTTCGAAGGAAGACGTCAGGCCTATTTCTAGAATGACTGTGGCCATTGTTTTGTGTGGTGTCCACTTTGTCTCCTTCTCCGCAGGTATTGCCCCTGGAGTACCCCTTTGGGGCAGCTCACTGTGGAACGGTTAGCCCTCAAGGGAAGGCAGGGGCAGATCATGGGCATTCCCCGCCATCCAAGGAGGCTTCCATGCATGCAGAGCCGGCACATGGCGCTCTGGTTCTGGGCTCACAGAAGGAATTGTCACGTCCTGCACATGCCTGCTTAACCTCACAACCGTATTAGGCTTCCCGCTCGACAAGGGCTGCACCCTCTGGAAGTCAGCGAGAGCAGCCCGTGGGTTTTGGACTTTTGTGACCACCCGAATAGGTACATTTTTTTTCCTCGCACGTTAGATTTCTTTGATTAGCCGTTAGCCCGACAGAATTTTACATCCTGCGTCAGGCATATCGTTATCAGTTTGGTCCCAACACTCGGGCGAGTGGGGTCTTTGAGTGTGGACATTTGGTCTTTTTCCGTTCAATACAAATTGTGATGGTCAGATTTTGAGCTTATTCGTGTGCCGTAGGATCTAGTTTTGTCGGACATTTAGGCTTAGCCAGCCAATGGGCTGTTGCTGTTGTGGTGTACCTCAGCACGGTGGCGACGACACTGAGGGTGAACCGAGGATGTACATGGATGGTTGCTGTTGTGGTGTACCTCAGCGTGGTGACAACGACACTGAGGGTTAACCGAGGATGTACATGGATAGCCAGCCTATGGATGGTTGCTGTTGTGGTGTACCTCAGCTCGGTGACGACGACGCTGAGGGTTAACAGAGGATGTACAGTGAACAATGTTCTCTTCACTCCGCAATCTTTTAACCAAGGGTTGTGATTTTAGCTGTACGTTTGGCAAGCATACACATGTTCCTAATGAGTTTGATAACCTTTTTCACCCAAGCGTTTGGGGGCGGGCTGATGAGAGCCACATGGACACATCACCTCTGGGGGCCGCCAAACTCCGAGATCCCCTGACAGCTCTGTTAATGCTCATTTGAGACATCCTTGGCGCATGACGAGGATGTGCTGCAGGGGTCTTGCGTAAAACCAGAACAGTGAAAGACTGGCGCCCGAGTGACTTACGGAGTATCTCCTTATACACATCATGTTGGACTTAAATTCCCCTCACGCCTGTGACATAAATCACCGCGCCACCCTACATCCATTTTAGACTGCATCTTTCCCATGGCATGGACGTGAGTCATAGATTTACTCAGCCACTGAAGACAAATATAGGAGCTTTTGAACTGAAGTGCTACATAATTTTTTTTTGTTCTTTTTAAAAACCATTGACCAAGAATAAGAGAGACACTGACATCCTAGATGATCTGAGCATTGAAGAAAATTGACTTATAAACAGTATCCTATTCCTCCCCAGCCAGGGGCTGTTGTGTGGTTCTTCTAGGCAAATTTACATCCAGTAGTTTGCCATTGCTTTCTGTACGGTCAGCTATCTTGATACCACTGTTAAAACCAACGCAAGGCGCATGGCCCGCAGCTGGGATCGAAGTGTTCGCATTGACTTAGCCACAGAGCCAACTAAAATGACAAAGATATATTGCATAAAATGTTCATCATTTTATAAAATTTAGTTTTTGCCTGTCCTATTCTGTTTCTCATCTCAGTAATACATCTTCCATCTACTCCTTTCGATTTCCAACTGCCAATACATTTTTTATGTGTGCAACAGTACACAAGGGCGTCCGATCTTACTACCCAGAGACCAGGGGAAATTACTAGAAAAAAATCCCAGCTTTCAACAGGGCTTGAGCCCTGGACCTCCAAACCTCGAGGCGGACACCATGCCTCAAGACCGCACAGATTGCATACCACTTTATGTATTTTAATATGGCTTTAGCTCTGTGTGACGGATGCACCGGTGATGTTATTTTGTGTTTGTTTATTTACAGAATGAAGACAATGTCACATTGGCTTCATCACTTGGTGCCAAGCATGTTGGTGCCCCAGATAAAGTGATGAAATTGGTGAGTTTAAACTTCTGAGTAATGTCAAGAGATAGATTTTCACTCAGTTTTCATAATTGTCATGGTATTTTCACAGATTGTTGTGCTGTGTTCATAGATTATTACTTTCTGTGTAGATTATGTTAATAGATTGTCACTGTTTGTGTAGATTGTCATGGTTTGTGTAGATTGCTGCTGTTTGTAGATTTTTACTATTTACCTTGACTTTCACTGTATTTATATAGATTATGACAGTGTTTTCATAGATTTTCATTGTTTTCCTTGTCTGTAGGTGTGTTTTCAAAGATTGTCACTGTATTGTCATAAACTTTCACTTTTTTTTTTTTTAGCTATGTTCTATTAGATTGCTAGTGTCTTTAGTCTATTGTGTTTCTTTTGTGTGTGGCTTAAAGATTGTCTTCACCATCTGGTGCCATAGCAACTGATGTGAATGATCATGTGTCACCAGAATTTCTGTTTATTGTCTAACGGAATGTATCATTTCATGAGAAGTCTATGGTTGTGAAGCAAGATTATTCCGGATCTTCCTTCAACTTCCACTTGTCTTATCTGTATTTTAAAAAAAAACCAATGTATTATGTAAATTGCTTCCTTCTATGGTTTTTGATCTTATATGTTAACATCTTTCAAACATTTACATAACAGTCAAGTAAGAAACTAGACCAGGCAATGTTTAGTTTTTCGTTTGACTTGTAATTTAGTTAGAGTTGTCTCTTTTGAAATGTTTGCCTTTGCTATTGTTACATCATTTCCAAAACTGTTTTTCTGGCTGTCTAAAAATCTTTTTCTGGGAAATTAAAAATTTACTATAGCGAACATTCCGTGATATCGTCTGTGGTCTTAAATCAATTTAGAGGACGTTTCAGCTTTAAAAGCAGTTAAAGTCAGAATCTATGATTCTTCTTCTTCTGTGTTTACCTTCAAAAGAATTGTTGGCATGTTGATGTTGTAATGTGGTTTACAGCTAGACTACTACGATGTATGTAGCTTTCGTTCCACACATCCGATTTCAGTAACCCTTAGTCTCCCCATGTGCGTTCCGTGGCTTCATTGTGGGGACAACAAGAATATACCCATGTCGCAAGCGTTGACTAATTGGGGGCTTCCTGCGAAGTCAGAGTTCATCTGCCTGAGAGGCAAGGAACTAACAGTCTGCATAAGATATATTAGATATATAAAACTGTAAATGCATCACTCAGGAACACTTCTGGGACAAGTCTAAAGTCCAGAGTCAGTTGAACAGCCAGAACTTTCCCCTGGAGTTTCGCAAAAAACGAGAAGAAGAGTAACCCTTAATTAGTTGCTTTTTAATGACATGCTTGTTAAAAAGCAGTGTGTCTGTTCTCTTCCCCTCCCCTGTCTCAGTTAATGCACTGACAGTTTTTCATAATGTGGTGAGATTTTGTACTGTGATGAGATTTCGTACTGTGGTGAGATTTTGTACTGTGGTGAGATTTTGTACTGTGGCGAGATTTCCCACTGTGGTGAGATTTCCTACTGTGGTGAGATTTCCTACTTTGGTGAGATTTCCTACTGTGGTGAGATTTCCTACTGTGGTGAGATGTCCTACTTTGTTAAGATTTCCTACCTTGGTGAGATTTAATACTGTGGTGAGATTTCCTACTGTGGTGAGATTTCCTACTGTGGTGAGATTTCCTACTGTGGTGAGATTTCCTACTGTGGTGAGATTTCCTACTGTGGTGAGATTTCCTACTGTGGTGAGATTTCCTACTGTGGTGAGATTTCCTACTGTAGTGAGATTTCCTACTGTAGTGAGATTTCCTACTGTAGTGAGATTTTCTACTGTGGTGAGATTTCCTACTTTGGTGAGATTTCCTACTGTAGTGAGATTTCCTACTGTGGTGAGATTTCCTACTTTGGTGAGATTTTCTACTTTGGTGAGATTTTGTACTTTGGTGAGATTTCCTACTGTAGTGAGATTTTCTACTTTGGTGAGATTTCTTACTTTGGTGAGATTTCCTGCTGTGGTGAGATTTTATATTGTGGTGAGATTTCATACAAATCCTAAATTCTTTCTTTAACAATTTCTTTGTTAAGGGGCAGTGGAGCAGTTCTCCCCTCATCTTTTCCAAAAAGTGGACCTTCGCCCTCTTAGGGAACTCTTCAATGAAGTTTATGTTTGGTCTCAGTCTTAATCTTCCTCTAATGTTTTAAAAAAAAAATATATCTACTGTTACTACAGCTGCTCCCGAAACACACCCATCTCTTTTGTGTGATTCTCCACTCATTAGCTGTAGTAAGAGTCCATGTTTGACACTGGAATAGAAGAATAATCAATTGTATTTTGTTAACTCTTTGAAATCATACTTTTATGGGGAATGGTTTTAAATTGGGTGCAGCTGTTACCAACTAACATTTGCAGACGGTACCCTGCCTTCGGCTATTACTTTTTCCAATCTACCATGACACTTTATATGACCTAAATATTTCATGTATTTCACAATATTTCTAGTGAAAAATTAGAAGTGTTTTAAAACTTTAAGAGGTGAAGATTACTAATGGTTTGTTTTCTATCACTCTTCTGTAGATTCAGACAGGTGTTGTCAACCCAAAGGATTTTGAACATGTTTTATGTACAGCTGAATGTGCTTCTGAAATCCTTCCATTGCGTTCACTTTTTAGAGACAGATTCCCCCAGAAAGCTAAAGGTACAAACATGTTAATGTTTTGTCTCTTTTCTTGTAAATATTTTTTTGAATAAGTCACTATATTTTGTTGAAGGTGATGGAGGGAAACTGGTGAGTGTAACAAAGTTTAAGGTATTCGTCCTATTCTTCTCATCCTAATGTTACCTCCTTGGGGTATTATTGGAAGATGTAAGGATCTTTTGTGTGCTGATTCTGATGTGTTGCCTAAGTGAATCTTCATTTCTTTAAGGCTTTTGATGCCGTCATTCCTCATTTTCTGTGGACCCTCTTGCTCTATTTTTATTGGATTTCTTCAGCTAGGATCTTTGTAGCAGTTAGTATCAATCAGAGCATTCTCATCAGGTGGCCAAACCATTTCATCTGTTATCTTTAATGAACTGGTGTCAGTCCTAGTTTTGGAATTTCTAAATATTTCAATTTTATCTTTTCTTGTTATTATGGCAGCTCTTCTAAGATATCTCACCTCTATTGTTATGATCAGTCTAGATTAGTCAAAGTCATAAATGTTGCCATTACTCTATACACATACACAACATGCATGTTACTAGTCTAGGATAACAAACATGTAATCAACATTATCATTCCTGTGTAGACATTGTATTTAAACATATGTACTGTGGGTATAGGTGGTTTAAGGGGCCTGAAGGCACAGCTCTGACTTCCATAGATGTCACTAGTGTGTTGTGTTGTGTGATTGGGTGGGTGGGTCTCCGTGGCGAAGTGGTCAAGCTGTTTGCCTCATGCTCTGAAGGTTGTTGGTTCATTTCATGGCTGTGCTTTTCAGTTCATGAGTGCAGTTTTTTACGGGTTTTATGCTCTTGGCAGGTGGTTAGCCGTTGTGCGGAGAGAGACCGAGCCACATGGGATAAAACCTGGTACAATGAGATCGATCCTTTTTTTTTTTTTCATGCGTGGTTGTGTGTCACAAAAACACAAATCCTCTAGGTAGTATTCTCAGTGCTCCATGTTTAGATGGAAAGCGGCCTCCAAATAAGAAAAAATAATTATGTATAAACATTTTTATTCCACTCGCACAGGACAGCAGGTTACTTCATGTAGTTGTGTGAATAGTGCTACAATTGTGTGAACAGCGCTGCAGTTGTGTGAAAAGCATTACAGCTGCCTGAGTAATAAGAAGAGTTACCAGTAAAAGTAAAGAAATTACAAAGAAGTCTAGACTGGAACCAGACAGTTTATTAGAGAGCAGCAGATAATATGGTCTAGCCACCTGTGGTGGGGGGGGGGGGGGGAATAAAGTACTCAAGCACCAACTACTACAGATAGCCATGCTGAAGAAATACAGTGAACACAGAACAAGAAGACCACCATACAAAAAATGGAACAGTGGCATCAGGAAGAGTTCAAGGAATGATCAGCTGATGCAATGCATTAAAAAGAGCACACAGAAGATTCTTAGATATCCCCCCAACACTTTGATGAGGTGACTGGGAGAAGAAAAGAAGAAGTTGTGTGGTGTCCCAGTATGACTGTTGTGTGGTGCCCCAGTGTGACTATTGTGTGGTGCCCCAGTATGACTGTTGTGTGGTGCCCCAGTGACTATTGTGTGGTGTGCCAGTGTAACTGTTGTGTGGAGCCCCATTGTGACCTTTGTGTGGTACCTCAATGTGACTGTTGTGTGGTGCCGCAATATTACTGTTGTGTGGTGCTCCAGTGTAAATATTGGCTGGGTTCCTCCCCCCCCCCTTCCCTCCCCTCTAGATGCAGTGTATTTGAATTGGTGTTTTGGGGGAATATCTGAACCATTGGCAGGTCTGATTGTGACCGCTTTGTGTGGTGCTCCAGTGTGACTGTTGTATGGTGCCCGAATGTAACTATTGTGTGATGCCCCAATGTGACTGATGTGTGGTGCCCGAATGTGACTGTTGTGTGGTGCCCCAAGGTAACTGTTATATGGTTGAGCGGAATGTCTGGAATTTGTCCTCTAGGATTGGCATGTAGAACATTGGCATGTTTGCATGTAGAAAATTTATGTATGTATGTCTTTTTCAAGTTGCCTACCCATAAAACAGACTGGTTGTATAGAGATAGAACATAAATGTGTTTATGTCTGGACTGTTAATTTATGCTTGTTTCTGTTTGCTTTTCCAGGGAGTCTGGGACCAGATCTAAAGGTCATGTGGGACTTATACTACAATGGTTATACTTATGAGTCTCAGAAAATCAGTGATGCAGTGGGTCGTTTACAGGTTCCGGTGGGACTGGTATGTGACACAGATTGTTGTTTGCACTTGTGCATTATATATTTTGTTGTTTGTAGATGTACACTTGGCAGCTAGTATAGCAGGGAGGCTCTTACGAGCAGATGGGCAGAGCACTGCTCTTCTGTCCAGTAGCTTCTTTATGAATTCATAATTGCTTTGTTTCTTACTTATTCTTGTGGCATGAAAACATATTCTTTATTGTTAGCTACAACTTAGGCATGCGAACATGCTTCATAATTCCAAAGTGCCGGTTTTTCTTCTACTTCTTCTTCTTTTCGCTCATGGACTCTAAACTCTGACATGAGCTGTAAACTGTCCACTTTTGAACTTTAGTCTCACCCCAGAACCTGATTTTTGTGTGCATATCTGTTTTACAGACCTGACTCATTTGTATGCAGACTGTTGGTTCCTTATCTCTCGGGCAGATGCACTGTGACTTTGAAAGAAGCTCCCAGTAAGTCAACTCTTATAAGATGCTTTTGGGCAGGTAGTGGGTCTTTTCTTGTTTTTCCCACAATGAGACCCCAGAACCCACACGGAAAGGTGCTGGGTTCGATCTCACCTGTGGGCAGTTTGGCAGCAGACTGCCTTGCATTGGTTTTGACAGTGGTATCAAGAGTCGACCATTCAGGAGACAGTGCCAAACTACGGAACATAAAAATACCTAGTGATATTTTAGACAGCCAAAAACTGTTGTTGGGGTTGGTTCTGCAACGTCCTGTAAAGGATACACAACTAAATATTTTTTTAAAAATTCAATTGTGGGGACTAAACCAACCATGCAGTCCTCAGGATCAAGATCCCATATCCCAGACTATCCTAAACAACTTTCAGTTCAGACAATAATGACAGCTTTGTTTTTTCCTGGATCAGTTGGAGCAGCCCACAGAGGAGTTGAAGGAGAACTTCACAGCTTATGTCAATGATATTTGTCAACACAGGAGTGTGGCTCTGGGTGAGTTGTTGCTGAATGTGGATTGTCTCAGTTATGTTCAGTTCTGTGGAAGTTACTTTACATAGTCTGTTTGTGTTCTGTGGATGGATTTCTCATTTTCATTAGTGTAAGAAATCAACCTCATCTTATAGAAGTCCTTTGCAGAATGTCGATCTCATCGCTGTCTGCCTGAAAGATACTTGGTCACTTGGCAGCTCTCTTTTCTGTAAACAACTGTTGTTGCTGGAATGTTTTGTTGTGAGTGGGTCCCAGGTGCCTGTGTGCAAGAAAGAAGTACTGAAGGGGGAAGTGCCGAAGGCGCGACGGTTCCTGAATATCGAATCCTTGATGTTTTTTAATTTTTACACTTGGCGGCGGTGTCTGTCATCGGTGGTGAATGCGCTTAAATATTTATTACAAGAAACACATGACACCACTAGACTATAAGAGTATCCTAGAAAATTCCCTACAAAATCACACAGCTGACGAGACGAGATGGGGTAACTTTCATGAGTTGTACCTAATATTCAAACAGAAAAGCATGAGAGCATCGAGGAACATTAAAGAGGAGGAATGTAGGCAAGGAAAAGATGTCAGAGAAACATTGAAACAACCACTGGCATAAACAATTATAACACAAGGAAGATGTTGATAAATTGAGCACAGTCTGGGTATACATAGAATCACAAAATGGGCACTTAAATGGGAAACAAATGAACTGCGGAGAAATGGAGGATATCCAGTGGAAGCTGCTGTGGGTGTTAGTAGGAAGGGTCAGAGGTGCTAGTCTGGATTCCATGCATGTTAACATCACCACCACCCCCCCCCCCCCCCCCCCCCCCCAAAAAAAAAAACTTGAGTACTGATTTATCTGTATATTTAAAAAAAAAAAGATGATTTTGCAACATTTGCCAAACAGGTCACTGACATAAAAAAGGTCTTATTACTATATCATCATAAAGTACTTTGCTAACTGAAATGGCTGATCAAGCCACAGGTCTCACAAATGTATCACTTCAAAACTTGATATCTTTCCATATCCAGATGATGGAAGACTGACAAGGCAGCTGCATCCCACAACTTAATCTTACATTTCCTTGTATCCAGACAGAGCAGTGTGTGCTGGAGTACTTTCTCTTCTTCTTTCTGTCTTAGGCTTTACTTCAGCCATGGCCAAGCCATTTGCCTTTATAATTTAAATGACTAATATAACATAATTATAGAACAAAATTTGAGCAAAAGCAGAGTCTCATCTAATCTTGATCCTCTGGTACCTTACAGTGTCGAGATAAAGTAAAATTTACAGGAAAGTGCTCATTTGTGCGCTTTGTAAATTGTGATTCCCAGAGACTGCTATTTCTTCTCTGTCCATAGCTAAAACAAAATGGGGATTCCCAGGGATTACGTAATTCCCTATGTCTATCGCTTGCACGGATTGCCTCTTCTTCCCTTCTTGCTTGGTTTTTACATCATTGCTTGCTGTGGTATACTGTTGCTAATATCCGTGTTATATTGCTAAACCATTTCACCTTGTCTTCTAATGAAATCCGGAGCTTGCGTTACCCCGATTCTCCTTAGGATTTCATAATTCCTAATCTTTTATTCTAATTGGTATATTGAGAGCCAACAGCACAGAGTGGGTGATTAAAATAGGTTTAAGTGAGAGAGAATCAGCTTCATAATACTGGGTCATTTCTTGGATGGCTTGATCTCTCATCCCACAGTGACTAGCCACTCGCAGAAAATGACCTTCAGAATCTGAGGTATATGGTTTGACCATTTTGCCATAAAGACATTCAGAGTGGGTACAAGTGAACAGCTGAAAAGGAGTGGCTAACATTAGATGCTGGTCTAGTAACTATCCAGGTATAGAGTGATTACTGTCAGAAGAGTTGCAGTGACATAGTGGTTGATGCACTTGTTCACCCAGAATGTTTTTCATGTTCAGTCTCCAGAATTTGCTGAATTGATCCCTACTCGGGGTTAAACCCAGCTTTTTACAAAAATTGATACAAATTTCCCAAATGTTCTGGAAACTAAGAAATGTTGGCATCTGTGACTTAGACAGTGTAAATGTGGTTTGTAATTCCAAGATACTTGGTTCAATTCTAGATGCTGGCAGTTTGGCCGTAGACTGCTCTGCATTGATTTCAACAGTAGTAATGACTGCTGACCATTCAGAAGCAGTGGGAAACTACTAAATGTAAAATTACCCAGTAAAACAATGACATGCTGATGATGTCGAATGCTGATTTGAAAAGCGTGGCAAAGGAATTCAATATCAGCATCCAGAGTGGCCAGATACAAGAGGAATGGCTCCATAGTTATTTGTTTCCACTACCAAAGCCTAATAAAGACCACTCAAAGATCTGCGGCTACAGAATCACCTCGATGCAGAATACTGTTGGCAAACTTTTGGAAAAAATTGTCGCACAAAGATTGACCACCTACTTAGAACTACATGATAAGTTCCCATCAACACTTGGAGGGTACAGATTGAAGAAAGAGACATGGTCCAATGCTGCTGTTTTCGCCTACGATGTGTACGAGGGATTTCAGATTAAAGAAGAGACATGTGCGGCAGTGTTGGACTTAGAAGATGCCTACAATAAAGTACCATATGATTATTTAATGCAATTACTGCTTAAACTAGAAGTCAATCCTATTCTGATCCGCTGGATTGCTGCGGTCCTGTTCCAGAGAAAGATTGCACTAAGATGTGGTAGCTGGTCCTCAGAACCGCAAACGATATGTCCAGGCTTGCCACAGGGATCACCGCTATCACCAGTCTTATTCAACGTTTATACGGTGATGATCACTGAGCAGCAGTTGAATGGAAAGGGAAGGACTTTGTCATTTGCTGATGACATTTTGATTTATCAACGAGGGCGTGATAGACAGGAGATCGCCAGCACAATGCACAAAGAACTCGATCGAATTGCCGCCTGGTGTGATGGTTCCAATGCCTTTGTCAATCCTTCGAAGGCAGCAGTGTCATGGTTCTCTTTGAACAATCACATTGTCAAGTCGGACTTACCAGAAGTGAAAATGCGTGATAATGTATTGATCAGAACCAACGTTATGACGTTTCTCGGGGTGAGGTTTGATCGCAGCTTGTCATTCAGGGAACACGTTGACCATGCGATAACAAAAGCACGCAAAGGTCTATCTGCAATGAGGATTATGGCTGCTTCCAATATCGAGCAAAGACTGCTGGTGCTTCTATTCTACGGTCTGGTCCTTTCCCCCATTGAATACGCTCTGGCCATCCTCACTGTCAGTGCTACCCAGATTGAACGACTCGAGAAGGTGCAAAATGAAGCCATGCGTATTATTTTGGGATGTACAAGAGACACATCCTGTGGAGCAATGAGGTATCTACTTGACTTTCCAACAATGAACCAAAGGATCAGGATGTGGAGAGCTCGGGCATACCTCAAAATATGTGCTGATAAGAAACACCCACTGCATCAAGCGCTTTTTAGTGAAAAGGGCGACAGACTGAAGAGGGGAAAATCGTGGCTAGGTCGGGCAGAAGATGTTATTAGGCAAATATGCAGCCTAACCGACATCATACCTGGTGCAGAATGGATACCTGTGCCTCAGGCGTTTATTTGTACATTTTCCTGTATTGTCACACTCAACAGGCGATGTAGAGAAGAGAATCCTGCTGCTGTTAATGCAGAGGTCAACGCTCTCATCGGTGAAAATTCAGACGAAGCAGATGCACTAATCTATACAGACGGATCCGTTATACGCCAAAGAAGTAGCGCAAGGGCATTTACAGCACGCTCAGCGGGCAGAACAGTCAAAGAAGCCAACAGCGCCTTCTCCATGACAACCAGCAGCATGACGATGGAGGTGATGGCAGTGACGCAAGCGTTTGCCTGGCTTGAAACACAAAAATACACCCGCATATGTATACTCAGTGATTCAATGAGTATGATCCGGAGGGTTCAGGCAGGTTCAGTGCGAAGACAATGGCTTGAATCAATTCAGAAGTCCACTGTGCGAGGAGTCACCTTTATTTTTGTTCCGGGACACGCAGGCGTCGATGGAAATGAAAGAGCTGACAGGCTGGCTGGATCCGCTATCACTACCGACGGTCGGCCTATGGATCATGCTGATATTATCAATGCCCTCAGAGAAATGGGAAGGATAGAGGACTTTGGTGGCAGTGAATCCACATCACTCGCCAGAATGGCAGACTTGGGAATTAAGATCGGCACAGCAAAAAACGAGACGCACACCGGACACGTCAGAAGATTTGTTAATCAACATAGAACTGGTACTATTAGCCATCGGACGTTGGGATTCATACTGAGGGGAGGATCTGAGCACCTATGGACATGTCCGGAGTGCAATGATGATAACCCAACTAACTAACTAACTAACTAACTAACCCAGTAAAACGGCAAACAGCCAAAAATAAAGCTGGAGTTGATTTAGCAAAATCCCATTAAGGATATGCAACTAAGTAAAATCTAAGAAAGAAATATAATGAGGAAGAAAACTGACCACCCTAACCTCCTATGGCATGACCTAGAATGTGCATATGCTAAACACTTCGCATCCCAGTGACAGTATCTGCATAGGCTGCGTTGTAAATGTGTGAAGGTGGTCTAGCTATTGCTTATTTTTATGAGGCTGGAATCACATGCTTCTAGCAGGACCACTGTCTTGATAGGCGACTACGCTTGCAACTATTGCTCCACTTGAACGCTGGTGCCTATAAACTATTAAAGGACCCTTTTCCACACCTTAGGGCATATAGGGCTAGACCTATATTTTTATAGACCAATGGGAACTTGGTGGGTAATTTGGTCAGCATCCTGCTGGCCGCCTTTATTTTTTATGACTTTACCTGACACCTTTTTAAGGCCGGGTCAACCTGGGAGCCAAGGTCATTTTTGATAATGTCCTGCCCTATAAGGACCTGAACCCATGACCTTGAGCATCTAGCCATTACACCCCCACTGCTCCCTAAAAACTATTGCACTGAAATGTTGTCTGTTTCTAGA